CGCTTCGTGAGGTAACCTTCGCAACTCACCTCTTCAGTCTCGACCATGAAATCCTTCAGCGCTCGCAGCCACCTCGAACGTTCAGCTTCCGACGACGCGTACACATAGTACGGGATTTGCTTTGTAGTGTAGAACATGAATCCATGCGCTTCACCCGACCATGGGGCGACCTTCTCGACTGTCACGGCACCGTACTTCTTGCTCTTCTCCTCACTTGAATAGTATTCCAAAACATTGCCACGTAATGTGAAGTAGCGAGTCTTCCAGTTCGTAAACACATGTCCTCTCTTGGTCAGATACCCCTCGCACTTAATCTCGGTGGGGGTTCCTTCAGGGACCGTCATACGCGACTCCTTCTCGCCACGGTTCAACATGAACGTCTCACGACTGAAGATGCTACGTCGTGAGACGGAGCGACGGCTAGTTGCGTTGTTTACTGGCGCCGTTTGACTAAAGTCAGAGCCTCCATACCCTGTCGAGGTAGCAGGATTAAAGCTGGTGCCGCTGGTAGCACCATAGGGCGACGCCGTGTTGGCAAACGGCTGGTTGCCACCGTAGGGTGCTGCGCTGGGACCGAGCGAGTGGCCCAAGTGGCCGCTTCCCTCGAGATTCTGCTCGTGTAGCACGTCCAGATTGGGGTTCGACAAAGGGCGAGGCATTCCATACGTGCTGTTGCCGCTTTGAGGTGCCGCGGGGATCTGCGGTGGATACTGTGGAGGCGGCGGGGGCGGCGCTCGGTTGAGCATGCTGCCACGCGACGACGTGCGAGGAAGCCGCGCCTGGTCGCCCTGCGTCGTACGCATCGGAGGAGGGTTCATCTCCGCTGACGCCGACGACGACGAACGGCGGATGGATTCTCGCAGCGCATACGAAGTGGGTGACGTCACAAGGATGTCCTCCTCGCCATACTGCTGCTGGTAGTTCTGCTGAGACTGGTCGGCGCTCATTGCAGCATCGACCTGTAGCCCAAGACAAAATTCCTGTTGCACAGGGGCATACAAACAACAAGACGTTAGTGATAGAGTGAGTGAGAGAATAACTGCGTCCACGAGTGCGGAATCCAGAATGATGGTCCCCCGCGCGCGTTGATGAGACCATCATCACTCTCACTCCACCATCACAAGGGGCAAGCAAAGGAGGGAAAGCAACGAATCGATCCACCTCCGTTGTTTAGCCTCCGCTGTGGCTTGCCTCCCGCACAGGGACACGGAGAGAGGGGGGGGGGACGTCGCTCTCTCCACGCAGGTCATGCTAGGACGAAAAGCAGGCTACCTGCTGCTACTGCTGGTGGTCACTCTTTGCCGCGCGGTCGTCCAAATACGAGCTTTCGTCTGTCCGTTGAACCGCTTGTATCCGCTTGGGGGAATAAATGAGTGCCGCCTTGCTCGCTCCTTTCTCTGCTTGCGTGGCCACTCGGCGTGTTTTGTTGTTTGTCCGTGAAAAATCCTCCCCAATCCGGTTACGCGAAGGTCGCACGAAGAGGCGACTGTACCAACGACGATGCCAGCGACGTACGGTACCAGTTGAACCGGCTGCTCAAAGTTACACGCATAAATACTGGCAACAGCGGATCTATAATTGCTGCGTGGGACGCGCGTACTTCCAAATCGAGCGCGCTTTGGCCTTTTCCCCGGCACCATCATTGTCGAGGCGATCTAAGGCAGAGTGGATATCGTACGTCGACGATAATAATAAGGCAACTCCAGTCCTGCGAGCGAGCCATATCCACACAATATCACGCTGGCGTGTTCATTGCGCTACTGGAGCTCTGGTTACACTTACAATGCATCGAACGGATGCGCTTGCCAAAGAGCACAGATTAGACGTGCGTACGCACGAAGGTCGAGCTTCTTGCGCTAGAGTGCGGTTTGGACACCCGGCACCTGCGCACTCAGAGGCTGGAATGAGAGGGGTGTCAAAATTACGCGGCTGGTGCTGTCTATTTTAAAACGGAGGCAATGCAACTTGCTACTACTAGCCAGCATTGTGAGTTTGAAGAACGTCAACTACGTCTTGTATTGAGCTTGGGTAGTTATGATACTGCGAAGTTGTGGGGGTTACTTTGGGTATACCTGTGGTCAAGAAGCTGCAGTGGAATACAAAACCCAGATCATGTATTTGTGTGCATTTGTGGAACCAAGTGGTTAAATAACAGCGATGGCAGGGGTGGTGCGTGGTTTGGAGAGGTATGGTACACTTCGTCCCTTCAGTAGCGGTGAATGCGATGGATCTGCGTCTCCGCAGTAGCTTGAAGGCGATGATGCCCTGCGCAAAGCGAGTCGAACGTGCGAGCGAGCTGAATAGAATTCTGCAGATAGCAGCAGCTGCGAGCTACGTGCCAAAAATGATCACTGGATCATGCCGTCTTGCCCGCGTTGCCGTTCAGACTATCAGTGATGAAGGTGCTGGGCGGAAGGTTGGGCATGGCGGCACTAGTGGCGCGATAGCCATCCAACTTGCCAGGCATGAGAAAACTAATGGGCGGCAAGCGTGGGGTTCCTACAGGCGGCGGCGGCGCCAATCCTCCTAGTCCGTTGGGTACGCCGCCTGTAGCATATTGGGCATTCCTGAAGGCGTCCGACGCGTTCTGATCGTAGCCAAATCGGTTCAGCGGCGAGACGGAAGATCCATTTGGGAAGGCAGCTTCGAGCGACGTGATGGAGTGCAGACTATGCCGACGCGTGCTGTCGCTGCCGACACCGATACTGCCGAGCTTGGCCCGCCTGGCGACGCTGACCATGCGGTGCTTACGGTCGCTCTTGCGCTGGTGCTCGTTTTGGCGATCCCGATGGAAATGGCATAGAGTATGAAGCTGTCCGTTGCGCTTGGTGGCGCGCGGGTTCGAGCACTTGCCGGACTTGTACTTGCACAGAAGTTGCTGCTGCTCTCCGCGCGGGGAGCTGAGCGTGGAGAAGCTGCCGTCGTCCTGGCTGTTCATGAGCTGGTGGCTGCGCTTGAGGCGACGCTGGCGGTAGATCTCACTGCCCCTGTCCGCGCTGTCCGGCTGCAGTCCCGTGTCGAGTTGTTCGCGGTCTGAGGAGTTGTGCATTCACCTCCAGTGAGCTAAGAAAAAGAAAACTGTCCTTCACTGTCGCAGAGCGAGCGGAGGCCAGCAATAGAGTAGAGCAGAGAGCAGAGCGCTGGTTAATGCGGCGCGAGTTCCAAACCGTGAAATGGGGGGCGGAGCTTTGCCGGCGCTGGGCAAGAAAGCGAAGTGAGCGTCGGGAGGGCGGTGAGTACGCGACGATGGCCGTACTCTCCAACCACCAAGAGCGAAAGTAGCAAGTGCGTTGCAGCAAGTGGCAAGTGCATACTCCAGTGTGGCTGGCGCGGGTTCTGGCTGGGGTGGGGGTACCGGCTGAACGGAAACGCTTGGGGATTTTGGTGTGCAGAGACTGAGCTTTCTGTAGAATGCCCGGAAGCAGCGGAACATGCTCCGGGTAACGGTCGATAAGTCTATGGCGGCGACTTGCACTGCGACTTGCCCCATTAAGGCACTGCCCGCGATCTCTAGCTCCCTCCTCCCTCTCTATACCGGCGGCCTTAGCGAGACGCGCACGTGAATGCGCTTGGCGAACTTCGCTAGAGATGACATCTCTGCCATGGTCTAGCCAGCCCACGTGACGACCAAAGTTGATCGCTACATCACCTCCATGACTAGCATTACATGTACTTAAGTATCGTCGATAAAGGCCCGCGAGGTATTTAAGGGGGGGGGGGTATGGTGGAAGGCGGCGCTGAACTGCCTGAAATGATTTCTTCTGTGTTCCTTTGGCTCTCCTTTAATGCAGTGGAGTTCGAGACCCCGCCAGAAATCACGAAGGACGGGTACGAATACTGCAACATCCTCCAACGAGAAGCCCACGCTCAGCCCAGCGGTGAGAGAACGTTGCTCCGTCGCAAGTAAGTGCGAGTCACTCGTTGCGGATCTTTTGCCGTCGTCTCCGTTGCACTGAGCCGACTCGATCTTCAAAGCTCAAGTGTACAAAAACGAGTCATCGAATAAGAAACCAACGGCAACACCTGCAACGTTCTACCGATTATTGGTTTCGTTCGCGTCCGAGCAGACGACAGACGGGCGAGCGCTGGTCTCAACTTATTACCCGCGCCCCACTTGGAAATCTCCACGTTGCGATGCCTGAACATACCGGTATACAGCATACCCGTCCGTGGATCTCGCTGCTCCACAAGCTGCTGGCGACAAATAGCGACGGTTTCCCGCCGCCCGTCGTTGCCTGAAGCTGCTGTGTCCGCTTCCTTTGCAAGCCGCTCGTCACGCACAAGCGCTGCTGCAAGCTGGTGCGCAGCAACAGGTATCACTTAACGCACCCCACTGGCCCTTTCCGCCACCTTCCCTGCCATCCAGTCTGGCGAGAGGACCATGCGTCCTGAACTCGTGTCCAAACACCAGCATGATTTGTGTCCAATGTTAACGTGGCACGCCACAGTGGCGGCCACGTACGTACGTGCTGCTGTTACTTTGAGCCTAAAGGGCCAATCGGGTGTTGGTATTTTGCCGCGAAGGGCACGGCGAAGGTTGCCGTCATGATTTTTAGATATTGTCTCGGTAACACAGCCCCAACAGCTTCGACTTGACCATCGTACAATACCGCTGGCGATCAACGATAACTTAGAAGGAGAAAGCGCAGAGAACACTGTCGATTCTGAGTTGCTTAGTCTAGCTAGTCGAGAGGCCGGTCATTTCGCTGCTACTCGGAATTACATCTTCTACGCATTTACCGGAATGTACTTATTAATACCACAATTGTTGAGTCACAGCAATCACATTCTTCTACAGTACCGGCTTCTGGATAGCTAGCTACGTGTACCTTGAAGCGAGTCTTGTGCCACAGGAATAGTTGTTGGGGAAAATGGAGTGTCGAGACGTTGGAATGGCGAAACGCCCCACAGGTGACCAGGGCGTTGTCAGGACGACATGCGTCAGCAACTTCAGTATCCTATAGGGCCCCCAAAACAGTAGGGGTGACATCGACTTCCCGCTGGAGGTACTGTAGCTTGATTCTATGGGCTTATTCTGTCGGATGAGGCCATTGTCGAATGCCGGCTGAACCGAAGGATGCACGTAGCGTACGTCGTTCCTTCTGTATTAGGCTTGGTCACGTAACTTTGAACCAGTGAGACCTCGGGCAACGACTGCGCTGGACAGGTTTCAAGCCTATGTCTGACCCTCCATTGGAGGGCTTGGGAAATGGATTGAATCGGATCAATCGATATGTCTCGTCTGAAAAATCCGATCGAGGTTCGATCTTATTCGATTGAATCCGATTGATCGATCGATCGGATCCAATCAAAAATGTATAAGATTCTAGGAGAAACACAAAAAATGATATAGTCCCTTGTGCTGGGATTCACAAGAAATACGTTCTTGTAGGTATAGAGTCTACCCAATGACATTTACGATTCTATGAAACGATTTAAGACGTTCTGCATTAAATATTTGAGGTCATATTGTCGTACCGACGGTACGACAATATGACCTGAGGTCAGTGACCTGAGGTCCGGTACCGTACGTGTTGTTCGTCTCCAGGATGAGTTTTCCTGCAGCAGGAGTCCTAGCAAGAAGTTTTCTGCTAGGAAGTGTTTTTCGTAGGAGCCTAAGGCAGAGGAAAGTGACGAATTTTATTATGAAATCGTCAGCAGACGCACCTACCGTATATTCAGTGCAGCATCTCGTTTATCGCGGAATACCAGCAATAGAGACTCCCGGAACACATCCGAAAACTACGCCACCGATTACGTCTGCGGCTAGCCCACTGCAGACTCCGGCGGAAAATTAATGAGCATATATCCAACAGCGTCGGCGACACGCCTGCAACGCTGTAGCCACGTCGTACCAGCACTTCTGCCTGCTTGTTGTTGAGCACCACCCAGCTCATCGAAGTGCCCGGGAACTTCCACGTCCCGCTGTGAAGCTGTCCATGGCGAGCCGAACATGTACAAGTCGCTCATCAAGAGTCTTGATTGGCGACTTGTACATGTACTTGAATCAAGATCATTGCCGCGCTGTCCGTCGTGGTACGCCCCACCGCTTACCACTTCACCGCCCGAACTATCCGCTCCTCGAAGCTCAAGTCCAAGTGTGATACCTCTCCCTGGCAGTGTCTACCAGCACATCACGGCATTGGCTCGCCACTTCTGGGACCGAACTTCCCTTCGTTGAGGTTGGAATTTTGCGCCATGATCTGTGTGTGATTGTAGTTTATATACTTGGAATTTGTATGGCTTGATTCGATCCGATCGGATCCGATCGGATCGGATCGGTAGTTGCACCTGCACCAAATTCCTGTCGAGAAGCTACCTCCGTGGGACAGACTAAGGCTGCACGCCGAACGGTAATGAGCTGATTTCACTTCTCTACTTTGGCTTTACTACGTAGGCAAGATACCACATAAGTAGAATCAATGGACGCTCATGACGAGTCGAGCATAAACATTTCGTCGAACGCAAACACTTCATCGAGTGGATATCGGCGATCTCACAGTCACAAGCGTTCCGACATTTGGTCTTTCATTCGTGAGAGCGATGAAGGTTCCTATACCTGCTTGCTGTGCCCTACAGACTCAGCTTGTCGATGGTCATCAATTGCACACACCACTTTTCGCCGCCATCTTAAACGGTACCATCGTGACGAATATTCCGGAGGAGACGACGAGGCTTCAGTGGCTGCAATGGATTCCAAGCAAACGAAGTTACTTGCGTTTGGTTTTGAACGTTTTGTAAAGCAGCGCACTTTTGACAAAGCTGCGGCCGATGATCAGCTTGTGGACTTGATCGTGATGAACTCACTTCCGTTTAATTTGGTGGAAAAGAAAGCGTTTCGATCATTTTGTAAGATTCTTGAAGCCGATTACACGCCTCCAACTCGTAAAACGGTGCGCAAGAAGGTCATACAACGCTGGACATGTGAAAAGGAACTGGCCCGGCACACAATGCTCCAAGAAATTGCGTCGTGTCGTGTGTCTGCCACAACCGACATGTGGACGTCGGCGGCTCAAAAAGGGTATATGGTCGTGACGTTACACTGGATCAATGACGAATGGGCTATCAAGTCCGTAGTGGTTGGATTCACACGGGTGGAGTATCCTCATAGTGGCGTCCGGCTTGCCGATCATTTAATGGATACACTGAGGGCAATGGATGAATCTCTTATCTCGAAGCTGTGGGCAATTACTGCAGATAATGCGACTAACAATGGGACCATGGTCAGAAAAATTAACGAGACACTTGCTGACGAGGTGTTTACCAACGAACAAACAACCGCGGCTTCTACCACGACGGGAGTACATATAGCTGGTGAGGAAGGCAGAAGTTCTCAGCTGAAGGTGATACAAGTTCGTTGTCTCGCTCATGTGCTTCAACTTGCTGTGAGAGAAGGAATGAAAGCGTGCCCCTTAATGGATGATAGCGTTGGAAGTATTCGCGACATTTTGAAGAAGATATCGGACTCACCGTCTTTGCTAGAAGCTTTGCAAGGAGTGTGTGCCGCTGTTAGTATCAAGTATGTTTCTCCAGAACTCGATTGCGTCACAAGATGGAACAGCACTTTGACTATGCTGGCTTCAGCTCGTGCATTACAAAAGGCGATCGAAGAACTGCTGCGTAGAATCCGCGAGCGCCATGAAGGATACAGAGACTTGTCAATTGGTCATACACATCGTCTTGCCTCCCCCATTTCAGAGACTACGTGGAGTTACTTGACCGAGTTTACGGCGTTCTTGAAGCCGATCAAAGCAGCAACTACTATGATGTCTGGAAAAAATTACCCCACATTCGGTGTAACACTTGTTGTCTTCCATTTGATCTCGAAGCATGCGTCAAAGATAATGCAGAATGCCGAGTCGTGGTACACTAGGGACTTTGCACGTGCCTTTAAAACAAAGTTGGATGAGTACCTCCCGTTGGTGAAGACTCGCGAGGCAAGGATTGCTGCCGTTCTTGATCCTCGAGCTAAGGAACACATTGTGATGATCGACGGTGATATCGAGCAGGCCAAGCGCCTTGTTGAGAACGAATATGAATATGTGTATCGCAGTAAATACGAACGAACTGTGGGCATCGCCGAGGCTGAGAGAACGCAGGAGGAGAAAGAAGAAGACGATGACGAAGAAGCATTATATGGTCTCATTGATGAGCATTTGGATTTACACGAACCGGTCAACAACACAAATGAGTCGTTCGTGTCGGAGCTACAGCGGTGGTTGGAACACAAGGACAGATCCATGAACCTGAAGACAGGAAGTCGAGCTGTTTGCAACTGGATGAAGAATGAAGCCGCTTCATTTCCGCGGATTCAGATGATGGCGCGCGATTATTTGGCAATTATGGCAACATCAGTCCCAAGTGAAGAGGCATTCTCTGCGTCGGGTGCAACTATTAGTTCTCGTCGTGCCAGGCTTGGAGATGATGCTGTGACAGCGATATCGGAGCTACAAGCGTTTCTGGATTTCAACAAGACATCAGGCGATGTTCATGCTCATCTTTAGTTCACTGACTAGTTCAGTACAGTGAACCATTGATCCCATCAGAATCTATCGCCCAGGCAACGCGCATTAATCTCTCGCGGATATATGGTTGAAAAATGATGTTTTGTGTTTGTCTTCTATCACTTTGGTTGCCAGTGAAACATTAGTTCCTGGTCATGTAATCGATAGCACGTTCTCCAATGGTGTCGGCCATCCACATCAGAATAATTGGCAGCGTCGCCTGCGCGAGGCTGCTGAGCGTCGACAATACTGGAAACAGTTCACCAAAGGCGCCAAGGAAGGTCTTCGTGCTCTTTGTGACGCTTGCCAATTGCTGCACCGGAGATTCCAGCACAGCTCAAAGATGTCCAGCAGCGTTAGCGTCGTCTTGAGAAGCCATCCGAAAGGCAAGTGGTATGTTAATCAGAAGAACAGGAGTGGTCTCGGCACATGACTCTGAATGACACACACGAGCGGAACTGCAAGACACGCAATAGTTCCCAGTGGAGTCGCCGTGTTCCGAAAAGTTATCTGCAATCCATTTGTACTGCTGTCAATTTCATGGAGCAACGATAGGAAATAACTGAACAAGGAAACGTAGCGCAGTTGCTGGAGCTGCTACCACCTTCATGTACTTCTGGGAGCTCCAGGCTCTTACCACGTCGACCACTGTGCACACCACACTCGCGACATCGACTTCAATCACCCAGAACGTGGCACACAATAGATATACACCCAGGATCTACGCAAGATCTGTTTCGACTCATCCGATGAATGCCAAGCTCCACACAGCAAGTACGATCGTCTTCAGCCCATAGTCCACATCCACCCAGTTCGCTTCAATCGCCGGAACAGCATTCGGCTTTGCATCAATTTCCAAATGACGTGACAGCGCTTTTCAAAGTCCAGTGGTGGGTAAAGAGGTGATGTA